TTTATGGAACGTTGACAGTCAACTTATATTAACTACATCAAAGAGGGAAAAAATATGAAAATGCAAGTGATTGGAGATTTTTGTATTTAAAACACATTAAATATTATTCACTTAAATCAGAATGTTGAGTGGTGCAGACATGCCATTCCTGTCTTCCTGTTGCTCTTTTTAGGCTGTTAAAAGCAAAAACTACAGTGATAGTGTCATAAATCTGTGTCTAAGAAATGCTAGTATGATTTCTAATTACCTTTTTCTAAATTCCTATAAAGCAATATAATGAGATGTTTAAATATTGTCTAGCTTTCATATTAATACATACATGCAAAGACATTTTTTCCTCAGGCAGTAAAGCCAGGCACCAAGCTGTCTAAATATATTGTAAACACTGGTAACATTTTGCAAAATTATTATCTTGATTCTACATGACTTGTGAGCTGTCAGCTGTGGCAAAGAATGAAGGAAGTATCAGTTACTTCTTTAATCTTCTCAAGGAGATGAGCTTTTTCGAAATTGCTTTGTGTTAAAAGGCTAAGAACTACAGTTCTGGGTTTTGGGGTCTTTTTTTTTTGTTTGTTTGTGGGTTTTTTTGGTGTGTGTACATTTGAACTCCCCACTTAGAATTGCAGCTCTTTTTCTAATGTTTTATAGTGATTGTTTTGCTGCAAAAAACAGTTGCACTTAACTACACTGTAGTTTGGAGAAGTGTACGTTTTCCTTCAACTCTTCTACTATTTCATTATATCTAAGATGGCTTGGAGGCAGCATTTACTTTCTGGTAACATTTAAGAAGATAACTTACAGTTTTGTAAGGGTTGGTGAAAAATCAATAATAACTGATGTTCTCATAACATGCCTGCAGTGTGGAAGGTAAGTTGAGGGCAAAAGGTTATTTTCTTTGAATTAAGCGGAGTCTTGTAATATATACTAAAAGTGTTCAATTTCATGATGGACAACAGTTTTGAAATATAGCCTATAAGTTCTGTAAATATTTCACTGTTTTTCCCTAACAATCTGAATGGTCAGTTGAATTCAGAATTGAGACATTTGATTATATTTTCTAAAATCATATCTGAAAATGTCATTTATTTGTCACAGAAAAAATTAAAACCTGCTTCTTTTTTTAATGTCTTATTATTCTAAAAGTTGTATCCTAACAGTAAAAGAACACAAAGTTTAACGGTACAGAAAATGGAGACTGTACATGGATTGCAATGGGAACAAGACAAGAATTTCTATTAAAAAAAAAGGTCAAACATAAAGTAATCCTTTGTAAACCTTTTTTGATCATGATTTTGCAATACGTGGGAAAACTCTTCCTCATATTTCTCAGTTAGAACTCAAACCAGGATCCTGGTAATGAGAACCCAAAGAAGAATAGGATCCTGGTCATGAACTTTTACATGTCCTTGAATTAATCTTTTTCAGAATATATGACTATTTCAGTGAATGACATTTGCAAAAAATAAAAAAAAAATAATAAAAAAAAAAATTCTCTTATTCAGTGCTCAGTTACCAAAACAATGGTAATGTCTGCAAGCTAATAGTGTTTGTGCAGTTTTCTGACCTTTGATATTTTAAAATACATAGTATACATTAAAAAAAAAAGTAAATTAATTAATTAAATCCTCTTTTAATACAATATATGAAGATAAGTTCCCATGAACTTAATTTATACAAAATTGAAAACACCGAACAGAAACATTTTTGAGATAAAATAATTATCTCAAAATTGTGTTAACTGCCTTTTTAAGACTGTCAGTCTTGCCAACGTTTCTCATTTAATGAGTTTTCAGATCCAGGTAAAATTCTCAGGTAAAATGTGTTGGCAAATTTCTTGAGATATCATTTTCAGAATGTTGGTATTAAGTGAATGTACCTTGTTACCTCTTGGCTATTGATTGTAATCCTGTTCCTACTGATACTACCCAAAAATTTATACCCTTTGGTAAGTGTTTGCGGATCTTTGCAAAAGGTTTTGGTGGATTGATGCATCTTGAAAAGGATTCACTCTGTTTTGGAAGTCTTGTAAGATGTCTTGGCAAAAAGAGACAAGGGATACAATCTTGAAAATGTTAAGTGCTAATGTACCTTTTTTAAATTTAGAAGGATTATATTCCTCAGAATGTTTCAGTTAGGTCTTTGATTCCAGAGGTGAGAGCCATATAATGGCTGGAGGTGGTGAAATACTGAGAGTTGCAGCATTTACTTCTTAATGGATTCCCTGTGAAATTCCTGAGTTATGTATGAGGTTCCCCACATAGTGAAAAAGCCAAGATTGGCAAGCTGTAGCAATTTAGCCTGTAAGCCATTAGGGAATATTAAATTAAATCTTGCCCTTTTGAAAGATTTCAGGGCTAATTTCAGATTCCTAATCATAACTGCAGTTCTGATGTTAAGCAACAGCACTTCCTTAAAAAAAAAGAGAAAGTCTAAGAGAATTGAATATTTTCTTTCAAATTTCAACTGGATAAGAAGGGGGTCCAGTTTCCTGCTCTGTGTACAATGCTAAGCAAACATACCTTATGCATTAAGATCTGATGTATTAGAGCTCAGACGGTTTAATTAGAAATTTTAGCCACCTCATTCACACAATGAAAGCCGTAAATTCTGTCTTGGTATGAGTCTAGTGCACCAGAACATTTTTTAAAGGGATAGCTAATGAGTGTCCATTGCGAAAGTCACTCTATCTAGCCAGCCAGAAATGAAAAAATTTGTCTTGAACTTTGGCATCTGAAGGACTACTTTTGCTTGACTCTACACCAGAGATATACCTCTCTCTTCTTTGGATTCACAACTTAAACTTTTTTTACTTGTAAGTGGCTAAACCCTTTCTATCATAAGTTGAGTAGGTGTCAATCCTTTATTTCAAACTCAGCAGGAGAAAGGAATATTTGAAAGGAAGAGTATCACAGTCAGAGTAAGATTACTCCTTCCTTCCCACCTGCCTGTTCCCTTATTCATGAAAAGGATTAGAGAAGTGGGAATTTGTTCAGGATTTGGGTTGTTCGGGTTCAGTTCTAACCCATGACTGAGACAGCTTATGTTTGCACTCTTTTGCACTAAACAGAATTTTACATAAAATATTGCATTCATCACTTAAACAGGAACTACCACTGTCTTTTCTCTGCCACTATGTGCTCTAATCCCTAATCTACTGAACAACCCACGTTCCCTCTGTCTCCTTTCTACCACTCTGCCTCTGTTAATTGCTTCCATGCAAAGTGGAACAGGATAAATAAGTGGAAACTGCAAGTGTTGTTACCTTGAAATGGTCTAATGCCTGTAGGTTACAGCCCTTTGCTGAGACACAGAAGTTTAAATCTCCTCTGGCAGAAGACACAATTGAATTGACGCTCTCCAATATGTCTCACATTCAGCTCTACTGCTCCAGCCGATGAATAGCTGCACAGGAGAAAGTTGTTATGTCTGCCACATATCTTTCTTTAGCAGTTGATGCTTTTTTGAGGAACTATGTTTGTTAGGTCCTTTC